AAAAAAATTTAAGGATGATTAATTAGGCTTAAAAATATTATTTTCACGTTTTAAAATGATGGAAAATAATATAAACCATTGGATTTGAGGATTTAATTCTATGTTAAATTTGGATTGTTGGATTAAAGTGACAAGATTGTAATTTTTGGGAAATTACAACGGCAAAACGGTAAAAAGTGAAATAATTTGTCCATCTTTGACTTGTGGAAGATGATATGGTTGAGGTGTCTTGGTTTTACAGTAAATATGAAGTTTCATTAAGGGTAATTTGGTCTTTTCTTAATTAAATGACTAAAATATTGATTTATGGTTAAATTAAAGGTAAATTAAGATGAAATTTATCTAAAATTTCATTCAACCTTGTTCATCTTTTTCCTCCAAGTCCGCGAGCTTCTCCAAAGGTGAGATAAAGTTTTATTTCAATTTTTAAGCAATTTCCTTTGGATTTTGAGTTATGCTATGAAATAGAAAATCGATTTACGTGAAAAACACTATATTTTGGTACCATTTATGCTTGCTAATCTTGCTTGATTTTAAAGATCCCAAATTCTAGGATTTATTTTCATATTAGGTTTCATGAAATTGATGATGATTACTTATGTTTTTTATGTTGTAGATACATATTCAAGTTTGTATGATGATTAGAACAAGTTATATCTTACTATAAATTCTTCTATGATTTTTGGTCAAATTATGGAGTTATAAAACTTTGTGTTTTGATGAAATTTGATTAGGGTTTTGATTTTAGAGATGTTATAAGGATGGATGGAAGTTGATTTCATGCTTTAATCAAATCAAAATTGTCGAATTGGTCCCTTAACTTTTCAAAAATTACATAATGGTCCCCAAATTTTTTTATAAGGATGGTAGAATACTTCCTACATCATTTACAGCCCTTACATAATTTTTCCATAATTTTTCTCATCCATACATGCCATGGCCGAATACTCTAAAACTCTAATGTGTTTTGATGAAATTTGATTAGGGTTTTGATTTTAAAGATGTTATAAGGATGGATGGAAGTTGATTTTATGCTTTAATCGAATCAAAATTGAACAAAATCATGAAAACCCTAGTTTTAGAGTATTCGACCATGGCTTGTATGGATGATAAAAATTATGGAAAAATTATGTAAGGGTTGTAAATGATGTAGGTAGTATTCTACCATCCTTATAAAAAAATTTGGGGGTCATTCTATAATTTTTGAAAAGTTAGGGGACCAATTCAATAATTTTGGAAAATTGATGGGTTGTTGTGTAATTGTTATATAATTGATGTACTATGCTGGAAATTTATGTTTGGGAATTTAAATGAGTGTTAGAATGTGAAATTTTATCATTTTGGAAGTTTATAAAGTTTGGTGATTTTAATGCAAATTTTAAATTGTTTGGTAGTGTTTATTGTAATTATGCCTTTGTGTGTGTACTTGGTTGATAATACTTTCAATGCTGGAATTTTACTATTGAAAGTTTAAGTACTAAAATGATGAAGGACCATTTTATATAAGTTGGAAAAGTTGGTGCCAAAATTAAAAAGAATTAATAAGTATTAAAGGATTTGGTGGTGAATAGATTTCAAGTATGATTATGGAATTTATTTTGAAAACGTATTTATGTTAGTACAATACTAACATATGTATCAATATGAATTTATGATTTTGTACAGATCGTGATTGACTCTGTGTTCAAAGAAAATCGAGTATAAAAAGGACTAAGTTGGAGCATAGTGAGGCAAAATCTTTTGAAAATTTTAAAGTGTCAAGGTGAGTGCAATGCATGCATGATAATACACATGGATGTTTTATACATCATTAGGAAGACTCGCGATGAATCCACCTTGTTTATATCAGCATGATTTTATGCCATTTTTCATAACATCGACATAACCATGATATGTCAAGTGCGAAATTATGTTGCATTGATTATTGATAAATATGATATTTTTCCATGAATGTTATTCGGGTATGAACTGTCCTAATGTTAATTATATGGGTATATGATGCTATAGATGAAATGATTTATACTATATGCCCAAGTAAGTTGTTGAAGGACAGGGTATAGTTGGCATGCCATAGAGTATAGCAGTTGCAAGTTTATATTAGCACTAATGTGTAAGGACACTAAGTGCAGGTGGTGAATACGACCTTATGTGTTATATCCATATTAGCACTAGAGTGTAAACATAGTGTAGGTGATGGGCATGACCCTACATATCATATTTGGATTAGCACTAGAGCGTAAGCTTAGTGCAAGTTTAGCACTACAGTGTATATATATTTTACTCTAGTACCCAAAGTCTTCATAGATTTACAATTGGGATATGGTTATTAGTAAAATGATTATAAAGATATTATTATCCTGTGATTATGGTAAAATATTGGTCATACATATAAGGTGATTTTATTTCATTGGAAAATGACATGTAATTTTATGCATGATTTGTATTGCATTGTTTTTTATTTTTAATTGCCTCACTAAGTATATACTTAGTGTGTGATGATTTTCACGCGTAAGTAAATATCAGGAGTAGAAGTAAGGAGTACAGAGCAACATCAAGCATCGAGGAGTATAATACAATATCAATAAGACATACTTTGATGTATTTTTGACTTATTTAATGGCATGTACTTATAAATGTCCTAGTTGCTCTGTTAACTATTTTGGTAATGGTTGTAATGGCTAAACTATATCGTTTTACTCTATTTCTTCATAGATGATATTATTCAATATTACTATTATAAATGGATGTATTTGATAAATATATATATATATATATATTATGATTACTATAAGATAATTTTATGTGATTTAATATTTTATAATAATAACTACATTTTGGAAAAATAAATTTTATCCACTTTTAAATTGGGAAATTTTTTAAGTAATTCATGTGACATCGATAACCTGTATTAGTATAAGTATACGAGTCGTAGGTGTTAAAATATTGATTTGTCACATAGTAATCTAACAGGGTCTTTGCCTGCTGATCTCAAATGGTCTATTTCAGGGTTCAACAACATAATAGGTTCTTGATCTTGGTTCATAAAAGGAAGAAGGAATTACATGTCAATAGGGGATTAAGAAGATGTTTGATAAAATGTGTGAGAGATATAACGTACATGTTAAATATTTTTTGTTGCAAAAGATAAATAAATGAAAGATTTATCTTGGTGGTTAGGTGTTGGGATTTCAAGCATGTTGGCTAGGTTCAACTCTCCATAAAATCATGTTTTGTTTAAATTTAAACCAATATGATGTTGACATGTGTCATCATCTTATTGGACAAAAAATATTAAATAAAAATATATAAATATTAAGAACAATAGTTTAATTTTTATTTAAAAAAATCTGACGTCATCTATCATGACCTGGACACGCCACATCAGCATTTGGGTCCGTGTGTTCTTGCTTGGTCTACACCATGTGTTGACCGTCAGCTGACTAACGGTTTCCATTGATACTTTTTGACTCAAAATAAAACATTTGGAGGTCAAATATTCTTAAAAACAATACGGACAAATTTGACAATATTATCAAATGTTAAAGTTATTTTATTACATTATGCCTAAAGATCATGTCAAATAATAGTAGTACAAATATAACACGTCAAAAACAGCGGTAGAATACACGAAATTTTAATGAAAGTATCAACAAACAAAGAGATAGTTGAGAGATCCACAATGCATAATTAAACATGATAAATATTATTACTCTAATGTAAGATTGATTCCACTAAACATATATGCATCATTTTTATATGAAATGTTACGCTAGTATCGTATAGCGTCACTTTAATATAATAAATTATCATATCCATATCATAATAATCCACATCAATAAATAAATAAATAAAATTTATACGATTACACAAATTTAATGGGGGTGAAAAAGAGTTCTTCAACCTAGTGTTCATTAAAAGAAACCCGAGCGAAGTCTAAAACTAAAAAGCCAACCCTTCTACCAAGTAACCCGCTTCACTTTCTTGGTTGTTTCTCATCTTCAACACCGAATATCATCAGATCAGATCAAACGCTTTTTTATCTATAACTGTTGTGGGTAAAGAGAAAAGGCGTTCAGAATTTTTGTTGAGACAAGTTTTCAACAAAGGCTTTGAGATCAATCCATGGGTTCTTTTAATCCAAGTCTGTACAAGGTTTGGTCATTCTCCTTTTAATTTCTCTGAAAGATCCGGAAATCCTTTCTGCGTTTTTCTTAGACCCTTCTTCTGCCATCGATTTCTGAGTTTTTAGTTTTGGATCCTCCAAGCTTACCGGGTTTTTAGTGTTTTCAAAATTGGTACATAAACTAGACCTAGAAATTAGGGCTATTGCTCTGTTTTTGAATACGTAGAAAGTTAATAGTGTTTGATAAGTGGAAAGATGCAATGTAGAAGAAAAGATGAACAGGTTGAACTATCTCGAACTGTTAAGTCGCCTAGTCAACACAGGGCTGCTGCTGAAGTTGGTTCTCATGATTCTTATCCGGTTTCTCGTCGCGAGGTGATGAATAATCGGTCTCCCCCACTGCGTGGACAGAGGAACTATATTCCCAATGCCCTTGATGTGTCCAGGAAGGGGGGTTCGGTTAAGGATCGGATAAGCGGAGCCATGGTGGGGAGAGATTCGTATGGTTGGAATTTGGGTAGCCTTAGCACTGAAATAGCACGATCGAAATCACCCCTATATGAGCAAATGCGTAAAAAGCCTCATTATGAAGATGAGAGAGTTGTCAATAGAAAATATGATTTTGTTGAGCCTGTTGGTTTTGATGATCGTACAAACTCCAGTGCAAGGGGTGTGCATAGGTATGATCATGGTACATCTAGGTTGACCAAAGAGAAGGACTATATGGAAATCAAAGTTTTGAGTATTGATGGGCATGTAATGATGGACCAGAAATTGTTGCCAGTGGAAGAAACCGATGTAAGAGGTCCCACGTCGGTTGCCTCATGATCTAGGTCCAAGCTTAAAATTTGTAGAAACTAGTGAGTAATTGCCATTTTCCTCGCAAGATTTTGATCGAGAAACTATACCTTCAAAGAAGGTGACAGTTAAGGATTCTTACAAAGAAGATAAACCCATGTTTGACTCTCAGGATGTTGCATATAGTATGGTGGAAGAATCTCAATCCAAGGATTTCATATGCACCCCACAACTTAAGGAATTTGCAGGCACATCTTCTGGTCTCCCTAGGATTGAGTTTCTGAGTTCATATCAGGAAGGTGCACCCTTACACGGTTCTGAAGAATATGATAGGAACAGCCAGAAGTTCGCTGAACCCATGAGATATAATAAATACGAGCAAAGGCCACTTACAGAGCCTGTGAGAGATTCTGAAGCTACTAGAAGGAATATGACATTATATCAGGAATGGCCAAAGAGTCCAAGCAGAGCTGAGTATGAGGATTACCTATAGAGAAAACCTAGGGTGGCAGGAAGTAATAATCGTGGGTATCCAGTTGAGGACTTAAAAAGGATGATGGCTTCTCAGTCTCGAGTTTGCTATGAACATGCATTGGTTGATTACGGTCATATAGACATGCCGAAACGAAATGTTTTGCACCATGTTATAGACAAAATTGATAATACAGATTATTCTTATGGAAGTTCGAGAAAGGGCATTATATGGAATGATCGCACTTTGCAAAATCAGATGAGAACAGACTACATGGATATGTGCAGATCATATGCACCAATGCGAAATGGGGAATATATGTGTTCAGAAGACACCCATGTTGCATTTGGCAGAAGACTATCTCAAGACGATGAATTGTCACATTTGAATGCATATCAAAATCGTCAATTATCAAATTCGAGATCTGATTCTGGTTTTGGCAGAGGAGTAGGTCCAGTGTTTCAAAATGAAAGAGTTGTTAACTCTTCTGCATCTAAATATGACACAGAGCAATGTAGACCTCATCTAAGAACAAAGAGGACGGAGAACGAACTTGATGGGTACTCAGATAGGATCCTTAAAAGGAAGTTCCTTATGGTGGAAGATGTTGGTAGGCCAAGTTCTAAAACTAATGTATCCAGAAAATTGCATTCAGCTGGCAACTTTGTAGGTTCATATGACAGTGATGAGCAGATTGATGAAGATATAATTGGTTTACATACATCTAGGACAAAACAGTATGGCCACAATGAATATAGAAAGCCTGGAAGGACATATGATGGGCCAGAACTTCATGGAGATTCTGAATTGGATGACTGGTATACATCCGAAGATACTATGGCACATTCACAAAGAGTTCCAATTAGATTTTACAAAAATATTGGTAAATATATTAAGGGAAAACCTGAACCTGGTTCTCTTAGCTGGCATACTTCATATCACAATGAAAAAAGAAGTAACCTTCATAAACAAAACAAAGTTTGGAAGAGAAATGAAGATTATGATGAGGATATAAATGCAAATGATGGTGACACGACTGAAGATTTAGTGAATTATGCAGAGGCTGAGCTGTCTGAGGATTCAGAAGAATTTAAGCATTTGGTACATGAAGCATTCTTAAAGTACACTAGAAGATTAAACTTGAACCAGTCTGTTCGTAAAAGATACAAGGAGCAAGGACATGCTGGTAGTTTGTTCTGCATTGTTTGTGGTAGAAGGTCTGTTTTTCTTTTCTATGACATGCATTATGAAGAGGGACATATTTTCATTTAATTCTTTTCTTGAATTACAATTTTAGCCCTAAAGGTTCTGTCATTTGGTCTTCCTAAGATGTTTTTATGGCCATTTGAATATTTTGGAAGCTAGCAAATCATAACTATTTTTTAGTTATTTAACCAATTATAATAAGTTTTTTTCTTCTGGCCATACAGTTTGTTCATTACATGGTAAGTAGACGTACTATGATGGCTGGTCATAACAACTTTATTTAAGGGTTTAATATAGATTTGTTTGCTTCTGAGAAGAAATAGACTAGTAGCCCGAGAAATGATGGTCTATATTAGCAATTTGTAGGTTTAATATAATGTAATAATTTATAGGGTACCAGCTGGTGAATGCCGAGCATATCAATATGTTGATCCTATCCAACCTTAGATATGGTAAATGCTTTTGTGCACTAACTGGGTTTCAGCATTTGTGGCCAAAGAATGCTGAAAGGGATGGCTTGCTGTTGATGGGATCTAGGCATCCAGTTTTATCAATTTAAGCTTCATTCAGTGAGGTTTGAAGTTTCCTGGTTTAGATGACATTCTGTGTAGCCTATAAGTGAGCTAACTGCGAAAGTTGGTTGATTTTGTTATTTCAACTGGAGAACTTTTAAGTGTGCTAATATGGAGATTTCTCGGCATCATTGTGGATATTGGATAGAACTTGTTGTGTTCTTTGCTCATGACTGATTTGTGAGAAAAAGCTGCTTCTTTTCCTAAAATGTTTGGTTTGATCACGTAGTTCTTGCTCTTTCAGAATCCTTGGATGTTGTTAAGGAGCAAGGTTAGTACCCTTGTGTCTGCTAGAGGGATTTCGGTAATCCAAATGTAAGACCTATTAGATAAGGATTTAATAGGCAATTTGAGTGACCAATTGAGTGGTAATTCATTTGTCTGTGGCAGATAGGATTATAGTGAGTCTCTGCCAGTCAATTATGCTGCTACTAGCTTTTAATAGAGGTCCATGGTGGAGCAGGTCTAAATGGCAGTTTCAATGGGCAAAACAAAGAGATAAATCTGAGTGGTCTGTATTATGTTAGACATCACCTATGTTCTGTAAATAACTTTGTAAAAAGTGTCTGTTATTTTGTTTTTCATTGTTTTAAACAGCAATGTCTTGTAGCTTGCTAAATATTGATATTAATTATCCATCTTGGTTCTGATAAAATCTGTCTCTCCCTCACCCACTCCATTTAAGTATGTGTTTGTTGAATTTTTTTATTTGAAGTCTTTTTTTTTGTCAGTAAATCCATTTGCAAATGCAAATAATATAATTGGTTCGAGTAAAACATGATGCTTTGCTTGATTACAGATATACTAGGTTGTTTTCAGTCTTCATTTGCTAATGCGACAGTCCTCTACATATTAGGAAAATTTTCATCTTTTGAGTTCGGGTTATTTCTGATTTAGGCCTGTTTTAGGGTATGATGCTCAAGTTTGGGTTTTGATGCTCTGGATTTTCAGGTTGGTTCATTTTCAGTTTTGTCATTCAGATTTGATGCTCAAGTTTAGATGATTTCTTTTTTTTTTATAGGAATAATAAGCCTCATTAAAAACCTCCTTCTTGGTTACCTCTTGACAGAAGTATCTAGCGGAAGGAGGAAAAGAGTGCCTTAGTTTTATAAATAAAAGAGAGTATTACATAACATTACAACAGAGACCTAACAATTAACCTATCCCATCCTTAGCTAACTTATCTGCTTCCCAATTACAGCCCCTAGGAATCCATCGAATAATAACCGTCCTCCCTCGAACTAAGGCAGCAATATCTAAGATCAGGGAACTGAAAAAATTAGGAACAGAAATAGGTGACAATATCCATTCTACTGCAGATTTGCAGTCACTTTCCATGATCAGTCTTCCTTTTTTAGCCCAAGCTGATGAAACGAAAAGGTCTAGGCCTTTTTTAATAGCCTTCAGTTTAGCCAACGGCGGAGGTCCTGGACCAATATTAACAGAGAAAGACGATAAAATTATACCATTACAGTCTCTCAAAAGACCTCCAATTCCTCCAGCATTTCCATTCGACCTGACAGCCCCATCGACATTAAACTTATAAAAATCTGTCGGGGGGAGGGAGCCAACAATTAATCTCACATCTTTGTGTCTTCTTAAGATCAAACTTGTCTGCAATCGAGGGGTCCCCTACCAAAACATCTACTGGAATTTTGAGATGTGGAAACTTAGCTAGAAACCATTTAGCCAACCTAAATCTTATAATGAAAAAGAGAGAGGTAATATCAAGGCTACACTTCTCGAACACAATTGAATTCCTTGTTTTCCAAATAGACCAAAGAACAACGGCTGGGATGAATTTCCAAATGGTTGAGTCTCTTTTTAAATCAGACCAAGAACTCAACAAAACTAGAGGATCAATAGGCAAGGCTGTTGAGATACTCCAAATCCTTAGAAATCTGTTCCAAAGATCCCTAATCACTGAGCATAATAAAAAAAGATGCTGGACTGTTTCTTCATTCAATTTACAAAGTGGACAAAGAACGTCTTCCACAATAACCCCCCTATTCTTTAACTCCATTCTGACTGCCAATTTCTTGTGAGTGACTTGCCAAAGGAAGGCTTCGACTCTCGGGGGAGCTAAACCTGTCCAAACCATCCTTTTCCAAGAAAAACCCTCATCTTGACTATTTGATAAAGCCAACCTGCAAGTTTTCACTTAGAACAGACCATCCCCTTTCCCAGACCAAGACAGAAAATCCTCCAATGAGTCAGATAACTTAAAACAGTTTATTGTTTCCAGAAGCTCGACCCATTGTTCCAACTCCCAATCACTTAAGCTCCTTCTTGTTTGAACATCCCACATCCACCCATTAGCATCAAAACTACCAAAATCAGCCACCTTGCCCCTTTTATTAGTGGCAAAAATTCTAGGAAATTGTGTCTTCAATGGTAAGTCATTTGCCCAAACATCATACCAAAACGAAATAGACTTTCCATTCCCCAATTGAACCCTAGTATGAGATCTCAAACAAGCTCCTATGTCATCATCTTTCAAAAAATTATTCACGATTCCTTTCCAAATCCAAGAGTCTTGATTCGAAACAACATTATTAATTGACAATGATAAGTTACTCGCATTGTTTTTGCTACATATCATCCTTTTCCAAAGAGCATCCTTCTCATTTGCAAATTTCCACACCCATTTGCCCAACATGGTCCTATTTGCGATATTCATATTCAAAACTCCCAAACCACCGGCCTCCAAAGGAGAGCAAACTGTCTGCCATCTAACCCAGTGCATACGATTTCTGTTTGAGCTATTCCCCCAAAGAAAATTGGCCATCAAAGAATTAACTTTCTGTCTGACTTTAAGTGGCATTTTAAACATAGATAAAAAGAAAATCGTTAACGAAGACAGTACCGATTTTGTAAGCACCAGTCTGCCCGACATTGACAAAGAATTAGCCTTCCAACCAGCTAGTTTATTGTTAAAATTCTGTAGAACAGGTTCCCAAAGTACTTCTGAATTCCTTCTTGTACCTATAGGTAATCCAAGATAATCCATGGGGAAACAGCCCGTTGAGCAGCCAATTTCATTCGCCCAAACATTTAAGATCTCATCTTCAACATTTATACCAAACAACTTACTCTTAGAAAGGTTTAGGTGCAGCCCTATCATCAAGCTGAAGATCCTCAGCACTCTTTTGATGTTTTGGATATTATATAGTGAATCCTGACAGAATAGAATTAGATCATCCGCGAACTGTAGGTGAGATAAATGGAAAGGGTTAACTGATCTACCAATGTCAAACCCATGAAACAGACCCAAATCATTAGCTTTGGTCAACATTTGATGAAGTAGTTCGCCAATTAAATTGAATAAAAGAGGTGAAAGACTGCAGCCTTGTCTTAACCCTTTAAGCATTGGAAACTCGTCAGTCGGAGAGCCATTCACGAGAACTGAAATTGAGGCTGAAGAAAGACAATATTCAATCCAAGAAATCCATTTTCCCCCGAAACCCATAACTTTCAATAATTTAAGAAGAGTCGGCCATTCCACTGAATCGTATGCTCTTCGAAAATCCACTTTAAAAACTACCCCCCTCCTCCCTTGCTTCCTCCAATAATCTATACCTTCATTAGCTATAAAAGCGCAGTCTAACAGTTGTCTACCCGGGATAAATGCGAACTGAAAAGGGCTTACGAGGTCATCTATGCAAGAAACCAGCCTTTTGGATAGAACTTTAGAAATAATCTTGTATAGACTGCCCACAAGGCTAATAGGTCTGTAGTATTCCAAACTTTCAGGATTATGCTTCTTAGGTATAAGGGAGATGAATGCGTGATTAACTCCGTGATCCCATTGTCTGCCATTGTAAAAGTCACTGACAAATTTCATGATCTGCTCCTTAAACAAAGGCCAATATTTCTTGAAAAAACCCATAGAAAAGCCATCAGGTCCAGGAGCTTTGTCACTAGCTGAGGAAGAAATTGCAGCCCAAACTTCCTGTTCTAAGAACCTCTGCTCAAGACCATCTCTTTGCTCCTCCGATAGCTTTGCAAAAATCAGATTAACTTCCCCCACTTCCAGCGTAGAAATCGTATTATACGCTCTTTGAAGTAATTCGAAACATGTGACCTTATTTGAACTATATCTGTCAATTCCGCACCCTCCACCTTCAAGAAGTTGATAGCATTAGTTCTGTTTCTTTTCAATGCACTTAAGTGGAAAAACCTCGTGTTCCTATCACCCTCTTTTACCCACCTCACTCTAGACTTCTGACACCAAATGCTTTCCTCTATTCTGTGCAGCCTCCATAACTCACTTCTGAGAAACATTAACTGATCCCTATCTTGCTGAGAAAAGGCAGCACCTTGTGACTTCAATTCCAAATCATTAACTTTGTACTCAATATCTGAAATAGCCTCTGAGATCCCCATGTGATTATTGTTGGACCAATTTCTTATCCTCTTTTTTGTATCTTTTAGAATGTTGAAGATTCCCCTACCTCCCCTCTTCTTCTCCAAATCAGGTAAGGAAATCTCAATCAAATTGTCAAAACCTTCTTCCTTCAATAGATAGTTAAAAAATCTAAAAGCTTTGGGGCCCCAGTTCTGCCTATCTTCTTCCAGCACAATTGGATTGTGATCAGAGAGAGATTTGGGCAGCATTCTTTGAATCACCTTAGGAAACCCCTGTAGAAAATTGCTACAAACCAGAAAACGGTCCAATCTTACCCATGTAGCCTGCTCTCTATTGTTGCACCAAGTGTATGTACCTCCTGCTAATGGGAGATCAATGAGGTTTGTTTGTTGAACAAAGGATCTAAGCAAATCTAAGGCATGCCAATTTTTCGAAAAGCCTTCCTTTTCTGATGGATTAAGATAGGCATTCAGATCTCCTCCTAAGCAAACTGGGAGGTTTACATTTGAAACGAAATTCAACAACTCCCGAAAGAACTCCTTTTCTTCCTCAACAGACGGGCCATACACATTAATTAACACACATTCAAACAAATTCCCCTTGAATTTCCCTAAAATTGCAATGAATCTGTTGTTTTTTTCTTCATTTGTAACTTGAAACAAAGCTTCATTCCATAAACACATCAAACCTCCTGCTGACCCATCAGCCGGATAAAAACTCTCACCTTGAAGCAACTTACCTCCTAATCTTCTACACAGCCCATTAGAGCTTCGATTCAGTTTCGTCTCCTGCAGAAATAAGAAAACCGGTTTGTTCCTATTTACAAGTCGAGCTACTGCTCTTTTTTTTTCTTTCCTCCCTAAACCCCTTATGTTCCAAGAAATAATATTAAGATTATTCATATCAATAAATCTTAAAATCCCTCAAAAGGCAGGCCCTTTCAACTCCATCTTCATAATTTCTTCTTCCAAAACATGTTGTCCCCCTTTAAATGAAATCCCCAACATATCGCACACCTCCCTGGTAGTCTCGGCTTCATTTCTAGCACTTTCTTCCAATTGAGAATACCCTGAATTAGCTGTGTCCAGATCCATATGTTCCCTGACCAAACCCCTATTCACCCTTGCATACACCCTTTCGTGAAAGTTAACTAAGATTTCACCCTCCGAGCAATCATTTCCCGACTTGTTTGAAACAATTCTTAATTTCCTATGATTATCAATTCCTTTAGGGCGAGAGAGAAACTAGACCGAATTTTTAAAACTAATCCCCATATTTCCCAATGTTTTGTAATTATCAACCATAGGTAGCAACGAACTGATCCCCCCTCGACTCACAACTGAAACCCTTTGTGCATCATCTATAACCCCCAACTGCTGTTTTCCTTTATTTAATTCATTGGAAATATGGTTTCTATCCCCACTACTCTGTCCAACAAACGTCCTCTGAATCAGATCATCTTCCTGACCTTTAACCATCTCCTCATTCAATTGCGTACCTCCATTGCTTACCAAAAATGCATTCTCAGTCGAGAAGTTTGAATCCTCCTTTTCCATATCCACGTGTTTCCCACTTTGTATTAAATTATCCTCACATACAACTGGTGTCCCAATAGCTTCTACCAAATCCAAATTTACTGATAACCCAATAGCTTGGTCAGCCTTACCAAGTCCCAAGGTGAGATCCCCCATGTTTAAATTCCTTTCTCTTCCATCCAAACATGCTTCCGACACAATTTGTTGACCTGGAACTCCACTTGATTCTGTCCTTTCTGAGCACATATTATCCTCGATATTATTAAAAGGTATTCTCTCTATCCCACTCCCAATTCCGCACATGCCATCCACATTCGAGACATCCCTACCCAACTCTTCTCCACTATTCTGAGGATCAGACCCCACCTGAATACCCATTTGCTCGTACTGACTATCTACCTCCGTCTCATGATTCCGGTTCGACGAGCTGTCCTTTCCGTGATCCACTGTTCCGACCCCATCCTCTGCATCATCTAAAACCAGAAAAAAATCATCGGTACCTTCCACCTTTAACTTAATACATAACTCTCTCCCTAAAGTATTAACTATAACATGCGGTGGGATATCAAACAGGCTTTCCACCCTCAACAGCATATGCGCCACCCTGCAATCCACTCGATTAACTGTTTGTTCCTTAATCTTCACCAACTTGCCCCATTTCGAAGCTAGCATTGTAAAAAATGGATCTGACCAACAATTTAAAGGAACCCCCATCAAAGAAACTTCACAATATGGTAGTGGCATACCATTATCGTCCAGAACAGGCTCCAACCTTTCAAACCAGAAGGATAAAGTCTCCCACTTTCCTTCCATCGTTGCAACTTTCTCTTCGATTGTTTGGAAAACTACTAAGCTAGAGCCTTTCGCATAACCCCAACGAATCACCTTGACATTGATCCCTTCCGTTCTTAGAGCCCTCTGCACGAAATCAATTTCAAAGATTGGCTTGCAAATGCCTATTAATGACGATCTCAGCCATGTCCTATCCTCTATAGGAACGAATATTTGCAAGGGCTTCATCTCTCCCCTCTTCTCTTCATTCCTACTCGCTTTCTGAGTCTCCTTTAGTTTCACTCCCTCAACCGTATCCTTGTATGACCTGCCATCATAAAACCTGCTCATCTGCTTCCTTGTCCCTCCATCCTCAACCATGGATACTGCTCCTTTCCTACAATCATTAAATTGAGTTTTTGCACTTCTTCCATTTTGCTCCTCTATTCCAGCCACCTTGACCCCCACCACACTATTATGTTCCGAATTCCTCTGAAAGCTCTTTCTCTGATACTTCGCGATTGACACCGAAATCTTCCTCCCGTCCAATAAAGTGTTGTTCATCTTATCCATAGCATACAGCAGATCTTCTCTGCTTGCAAAATGCACGAACGCGAACGTACAATACTTATAATTAAATCTCTTATTAACTGACGGAATGAACACCTTAGTCACTTTGCTCAGTCGACTAAAACGCTCCCATAATGCACTTCTGGTTACATTCCTACTAAGATTATCCACAAAAGCAACCCAAGATACTCCTCCAGGCTCCGATCTAGCTTTGTCTGAGGAAGTACTTCCAAACGATCTCTCTCGCTCTCTATCTCTCTAACTTTCTCACTCATACTTGAGGCAATTTGGTAAGTTTATATGATTTCAGGTTAATTATTTGGGTCTTTTTCGAGTTCGGCTTTGTTGGTTGTTGATTTTTACGGTCAAATCAGGTTCCTGATTCGGGTTAATTTCTTTCTGTTGTATGGTTGGGTTAGATTTGATAGGTCCAAATATACCCCTCAGCTTATTGTTGAACCTGGGTTAAAAATGTAACGTATTTGAAGGTAGGTCACTTTTTGACCCATGTAAAAGGTGAGTTTAGGTTTCGGAACATCATTTCCTCTAGTGACTGCAGAAAAAATGGTTTGAGATATAATGGATGGGTATTGGATGTTACTTTAATGTTCTTGATTTGATTTCATTTTCTCTGATCTTGTTGGATACTGATTGTTTTCTTTTTTCTAATGGCCCAGTCGAATCATTTTCTCGTTTTTAAAACTTATTACCATTGATGAATGATGATTCTTCGTCTCTCTTTCTTTTATTCTTACATCTTACCTTTTACAGCTTTCTTTTATTCTTACATCTTACCTTTTACAGCTATTCGAAGGAATTCATGGACACTCAACGCCTGGTGACCCATGCTTTCATGTCTCACAAGGTGGGGCTGAGAGCAGAGCACTTAGGTCTTCACAAAGCAATATGTGTGTTGTTGGGGTGGGACAGCTGTCGAAACGATTTTTTTCTTAAAGGTGAAAAAAAGGAGATTTTAAAAAACCACATCAATTCTTAATTATTTCTTTTTAATTTAAAAACAAATGCGATTTAAGAGACCTCTCGTTTCGAAAATTTTTAGATTTCCTTTACGATCGAAAAAATACAATTCAAAGAGTCGCCACCAATCTTTGATTAGGGTGTGATTGGGCACCCAAAAAATGATGTCATTTTAAATAAAAATTAATTTTAATTAAAACAACAAATTGAGGTCTGCGTTACCAAAATCCGAGTTCGGGAGTCAGTTACGTGTAGGGAAGGATTAGCACCCCCACCACGCCCTAAATCGGTACCTAGTCGATTAATTAACGTTACAAATTCGAGTTTATTTTGATTCTTGATCCCATAAAGTAAAAATGTAAATTTAAAACATTCAAAAACACTCAAACAAATTAAATTAAAATTACCAAGTCATTTTAGAAAGATAAAGGATGTTCGATTATTTACAAATATCGAGACCAGATCTTAAAGATATAACAACCTTTTCTCGATATATTTAAATAAACGAACATTTCTTTTTCTCTCATTCCCAAATTTTAGGTGACAAATCAATTTTTTTGTTTCACTTTCGGGATACACTTTTATTTTAAAATCATTAAAAGCGGACCTCAAATCAGTTATGACTGCCCACTTCAATAATTTTAAATTAAAAATATATTACCCTTAATCCAATTATGAATATGGTCGAGTTATGCAAATGAAGCTATCATGCATATTATACAAAATAATGTCATGCAAAAACAAAATTAATTAAAAAAATATATGTTACATCTAAATCCATGCTTATGAACCACGTAATAGCATATGCACACATATCATCATCGTTCAAACCAAGGATAAGCATACATCATAAACGGATCCTAACTAATCACATATGCATGCACACATAAGAAACTTAAACATGAACTAAAACGTAACATGTAAAAACTTGGAGCCCTAATGTCTAGACCACAAAAAACGAAATAACCAACATTTATGACCAAAATTAAATGCGCATGAAATGCAAAGATCAAATTAAAAACACAACAGATTAGATTTAAAGACGAAAATGCCAATTAACCAAAATTACGTGCCAAATGCATAAACAATAAAATAAAATTAAAAAAAACATAAACAGGTGACCAAGAAAGAAACACTTACAAACATGAAGAAAAAATTATAAACTTAGAAAATGTGATTTAGTGACTCAAACATGACATGCAAAACAATGAAAGTCAAAAGTCAAAAATAGCAAAATTTAAAAAACATAAGACTGGGGACCGAAATGAAATGCACGAAAGCTATAGGAACAGAATTAAAAAAACATAAAAACTACAACATAGGGACAAAAACGAAACATAAAGAAAATTAACAGTTCAATGTCTGAAACGGCAAAGATTAAATACAACAACACTTAAGACTAAAATTAAATGCGGATAAAATAAAGAGACAAAATTAGAAACATGAAAACATTCAGTTTGGGGACCAAAATAAAAATAAACACAAAAACTAGAGGGATTAAACGACATTTTCACCCTAAGGATTCGGTGGCTAAAAGTTAATTAACCCTAAATCTATAATATATATCCTAACTTTAATCTAAATCTAGACTAAACTTAAACCTAAACACACAGCCGCTCAACCTCTCCATCTCCTCTCTTCCACGCACAGCGCTGCACCTTCCCTTTCTACTCATTCTCGACCTCCTTCTCCGATGGCCACTGAAGAGAGCCTAAACCCAAAGCCTCCCTCTGCTCACCGACCCCCGCTAAGGAGCCGGAACAAGCCAAGTAAACTCTAAAACCCTCGTCCTCTCTTTCTTGTTTTATTTTATTTCTCAAACTCTCACCTAATCTTATTTGTTTTGGTTTTACCCTTGAAATGTGTTTTATTATTATGCTGCTTGATTTTCTAACTGTTTCGAAATGAAGACATAGATTAAACTGGAAATCGAAATAAGGATGAAAAATACCAAAAAAACTTCTCCTTGCTTTCAATTGCTTCTTTGATTCCAATGCAATGGTGAGTGAAACTCTTATTACAATGTATGTTTTTTTTGAAGAGTTATGTCCACTGTGGTTGATGAACGCTTTTTGTTTTTAATTGTTGCTTGAATCCTCTGTTGGAATTACTCTCTGGTTACTGCTGATGATCCTCTGCTTACCTCCCCTTGGTTAATTTTTTTTTTTTTTTGCCCTCTCTTTCTGTTCTTTTCTATTTGTTGAAAAATGTATGTAGAAGGAATCGTTTTTTTTCCCTCATTCCAAGATGGTCTCCTTTTTTCAGTAGTTAAATTCCCCCTTCTCTCTCTGATTTCTGATGGTTAATGCCTCCAAAAAAACTGACTCCTTACAGTTTCTTAGTTGTTCAAGTAGTGTTCTCCTCCACTACCGATAATGGCTCCTCTTTTGTTAACTGCCTTCTCACGTTTATTTCTGGTTTTTTAACTCCCCATAACTGCTTTCATTTGAAAATGGTAAAGGTCAGACAAATTAAGCATCTACAGCTGCCCCTCTTTGTTCATTGTCGTGTAACGAGAATAGAGCAAAGATCAAAAGATGATCGAATTTGTCTGGTCATGAGAACTTCAAAAAAATAAACCACTCACTGTTACGTCAGGATAAATAAGACTTGAAAAAATCTTCAAATGACGAGCCTGCTCCCTATTCCTTCAGGAAGTATAAGACTTGAACAATCCTTGGCAAACGTGTCTTCTCCCTATTCATTCAGGGAATATAAGACTCAAACAATCTTCAACAACCGTGTCTGCTCCCTATTCGTTCAGGGAGTATAAGACTCAAACAATCTTTATGAAACGGGTCCGCTCTCTATTCCTTCAGAGAGTATAGAACTCGAACAATCTTCAACAAACTTGTCCGCTCTCTATTCTATCAGAGAGTACAGAACTCGAACAATCTTCAACAAAACGAGTCCGTTCTCTATTCCTTCAGAGAGTATAGGACTCAATCTTCAACGAACTTGTCCGCTCCCTATTCATTCAGAGAGTATAGGACTCAATCTTCAACGAACTTGTCCGCTCTCTATTCATTCAGAGAGTATAGGACTCGATCTTCAACGAACTTGTCCGCTCTCTATTCATTCAGAGAGTATAGGACTCAATCTTCAACGAACTTGTCCGCTCTCTATTCATTCAGAGAGTATAGGACTCAATCTTCAACGAACTTGTCCGCTCCCTATTCATTCAGAGAGTATAGGACTCAATCTTCAACGAACTTGTCCGCTCCCTATTCATTCAGAGAGTATAGGACTCAATCTTCAACGAACTTGTCCGCTCCCTATTCATTCAGAGAGTATAAGACTCGAATAATCTTCAGTAAACGAATTTGCTTCACTACTCTTTCGTGAAGGCTTATAGATGATTTGCTTCAAAGATCAAACCTGAAAATCAAACATTATTCATCATGAATGTATATTTGAAAAATATTATACTAAAAAATTTAGAAGTTGAGAATTTTTTTTTTTTTTTTGAAAATCCATCTCCATCGTGAAAACTTGTCTGGAGCCATTGGATATTTGAATCTGCTTTTACTCAATTTTCGTATAAACATCATTCTTGTCAAAATCTCAAGACCAGTTATCTTCATCTCGATGCTTTCATATCTTCAATTTTCAACTATCCCTGGGAAACCTGTAGATATTTAAGCCATCATGCGATTATGAATGCCATGATCCTACTCATGCCTAAAATGTATGCAATTATGTAATTCAATGCGTTTTCTTCTTTGAAGGAACTCTATCTCCTTTTGATCTCGATGGAACTCGGCTTCATCTTGGGCACAGAACGTTTGATCAGTTCACCCCAGTTGACAATCTCAATTCCATATCTCTCGCCTTAACAGAACCTTGACTCTTTTTTTTGTAGAAATCCGCCAGTATCCCTGACCAACTTCTCGACACACAACAATCTCTTAGGGTCATCTTTTAATGGCTGAAATTTTCTACGAACTTCAAGATTTCATTTTCCGTCACCACACAAGCTCAAATGTTTAAACCATTGCCAACTTCAGAATACATGCATTCTCCAAAACCTTTTGCACAATAATACAAAATGATCTCATGTACTTCAAGTTAAGCTATATGTTTTAACCTTTCAAAATAAGATACTTACAAAAGGGAAACGAACAAGAAAATACATCTCTTTATTTATATAAATACAGAGAATTTTAGGCAACTAAATTGCAAACTTTTAACTGGAAACAGTAAAAGAACAAAAGAGTAGGCGTCCTCAAATATCAATAATGCAAATGCTTTTGAACTGGCACGCCGTTAGAATATCTCGAGTGTAGCTTCTGTCAGAAGGATCTCCAAAATTATGATGCTTAAGAGTATGAAGCTACTTCTAAACTCCCAAATCTCATCATTGGATGCCCTAAACCAGTATCGAATCTCATATGCATTCAATTTTTCTCCCGGTTGTTTTCATCGAGACTCATTAATCTTTAGTCTCATCCTTGATCACCAACTGTCATTGTTACCATCCATATTAGGAGCTCTTTCCACTTCCAAAATTGATTCAGAACCTCCACCATGCGCGAATTCTGAATTTCAAATTCAACTCAAGTCGCCCTTTGCAGGTTTTCAACTTGAGACCTCCTTTGGTTCCAAGACGCCCTTTTCGGGTTTTCATCTTGAACCCTCCTTTTATTTCTCTTTTTTTCATTTCTCTTTTTTCATTTTTCTTTTTTTCATCATTTTTATTTTTTCTCATTTTTATTTTTTCTCATTTTTCCTTTTCTTCTTTTCTTCTTTTTCTTTTTCTCATTTTTATTATTTTTTTCGTTTTTCGTTTTTTCCTTTTATTTCTTCTTCAAGCGAAATATCTCTTAACAGCGTCTGAATTCACTGGATATGGTAATTCTGATCCGTCCATTTCAGTTAGGACTAGAGCTCCCCCAGAAAAGGCCTTCTTGACAACATAAGGTCCTTCCCAATTGGGCATCCATTTTCCTCTGAAATCCTTCTGAATAGGCAAAATCATTTTCAGCACCAAATCTCCCTCATGGAATTCTCGAAGGCGAACTTTCTTACCATGTGCCCTTATCATACGTTTTTGGTACATCTGACCATGACAAATAGCTTTCAATCTCTTTTCTTCAATCAAATTCAACTGGTCATACCTAGCTTGGACCCATTCTGCCTCATCAAGCTTTACCTCTGACAAAATCCGAAGTGAGGGAATTTCCACCTCAATAGGTAAGACAGCTTCCATCCCATAAACCAAAGAAAACGGAGTTGCCCCAGTTGAAGTCCGTACTGAAGTTCGATAAGCAAACAGAGCAAAGGGTAACTTCTCATGCCAATCCTTATAGGTCTCAGTCATTTTCTCTATGAGCCTTTTGATGTTCTTATTGGCCGCCTCTACTGCCCCATTCATCTTTGGGCGATAAGTAGTGGAATTATGATGCTTTATTTTGAACTGTTTATAGACCGAGTCCATCATCTTATTATTTAAATTCAACGCATTATCGGAGATAATCCTCTCGGGCAAACCATATCTACAAATGATCTCCTTCTTCAAAAATTTACATATTGTAGACTGAGTAACATTTGCGTAAGAAGGTGCTTCTACCCACTTGGTGAAAAAATCTATGGCTACCAGAATGAAGCGATGACCATTTGAAGCTTTGGGCGAAATTTGTCCAATAACATCCATGCCCCACATTGAGAATGGCCACGGAGCTGTCATTACATGCAACGGATGAGGAGGAGTATATATCCTATCTCCATAAATCTGACATTTGTGACATTTTCGAGCATAATTGATACAGTCGGTTTCCATAGTTGACCAATAATACCCAAATCTCATAATCTGCCTAGCCATAACATGCCCATTAGCATGGGTACCACATATTCCCTCATGCACTTCTTCAAGAATCAATTTGGCTTCTTTCGCGTCCACACATCTTAACAAGACCTGATCCATACTTTTCTTGTATAGGGTCTCACCATCAAGCACATACCCTGATGCCATTCTTTTAATGGTTCTCTTATCATTCTCAGTGGCCTGTTCTGGATAACTCTGATACCTTATATATTGCAAGATATCATAATACCAAGGGTTTCCATCTTCTTCTTCTTCAATATTAAAACAATGGGCTGGATACTCATAAGCCTTCATTTCAATGGGCATCATATTTGAATGCTCGTTCATCTTAAACGCTGCTGCCAGTGTGGCTAAGGCATCTACCATTTGATTCTCTTCTCTGGGGAGGTAATTAAAAGTTACTTCATCAAATTCTTCAACAAGTTCCATAACTAACTTACAGTATTCTACAAGTTTGGGATCTTTTGTCTCCCATTCTCCTCTGAGCTGGTATATTACCAAAGCTGAATCTCCATACACCTTGAGCATTTTTACTTTGCGTTCAACAGCATCTCTAAGACCCAGAATACAAGCTTCATACTCAGCCATATTGTTAGTACAATCAAAATTAAGCCGACTGGTGAAAGGATAATGCTCTCCCTCTGGTGAGACCAAAATTGCCCCAATTCCATGTCCCATGGAATTTGAAGCACCATCGAAGTTCAACTTCCAATATTTGCTAGTGGATGCAACTGCTTCTTCTACCGAAATAGCCATTAAATATTCATCTGGGAAATCAAAGCTCAACGACTCATATTCTTCCGAAGCCCTGCTTGCAATGAATTCTGCTATAGCACTTCCTTTAATTGCCGTCTGGTTTACATACTGGATGTCAAATTCGGACAATAAGATCTGCCAACGAGCTAATCTTCCAGATAATGCAGGCACACCCATTAGATATTTCAAGGGATCAAGCT